TTTATGTATACTCTGACTTTGAATAGGTTGAAACCATTGTGGATTTGAGGTGGATATAGGAGACTAACTATAGGAGTCCTGCATGATCCAGTGATCTGCTGTAAAGGATGACATCAGAGTTATTTAACGCTTGCATTAGTTAAGCCTCTCTGAAGTACAAGTTAAGCCAGCTGAAGCGGGTCCTCTCCATCTTAAAGGTGCCTTTCTCATCACTGAAACACCAGCGTAGAGATGAAAGCAGTCAGAGCTTTGTGTTAACATCGGTTCGTGTTTAGACCAAACTAAATTCAGCATTGAAAGAGATTAGTTTTAATAGATTGTGGTTGTTAAAAGAAAGAGAATATAACATAAAACACAAATCTAAATGATGCATCAGATTTGTGCAAAAACTAAGCAAGCTTTCTTTATAGCCGGTCTGATTTAGGCCAACTCCATGCAAAAGTAAAGGTTATTTATGTAGCACAGGTCGAGATTAAATAATTATCTTTGTTGTTGTTTTGCGTCTACCTGTAGTTTTGGTCTCTTTGAAATCTATTTGTGTCTTGTTGTAGACGTTTTGTGTCTCTTTGTAGTCGTTTTGTGTCTCTTTGTGGTTGTTTTGAGTCTTTTTGTAATTATTTTGGTCTCTTTGTAGTCTCTTTGTGTCTCTTTGTAGCCGTATTGTGTTTCTTTGGGGTCATCTTTAGTCTCTTCACAGTTGGCACGTGTCTCTTTGAGTGACATCTTGTAGGTGACGGCCAGGGGGCTGTGAGTCTGAGATCAATTGAACAGATGAGACAAAGAAACCACAAATTCCCTGCACCTTTTAAGGACCTCTGTTTTATCAGCATTAAGCTTGGAAAATTATCAGCCATCCAATGTCATTACCACTTACAGGCAGTCATGTAAAATAGACAATTTTGTCATGTTATGGGGATTAAAAGTGAAGAGATGTATAATTAAATATTATCTGCATAGCATTGACTGGATCTACTATTAAACAAAGGTATTTTCACTGTACCCTTATCTCATGACATAATGTTTGATGTACTACAAAGAATTATAAGTGGTTTCTATCTACCCATCGATACGATCGGATTACTGATGGTGTGTTAAAAATGTTGATGTAAAAATGTTTCATTGAGACGTTTCAGATGTGGCAGTCTCTGCAGCAAGTGTTATGTGTGACCCGAGTAGTTAATAAGTTTGTCCCTGTGGGGTCATTGTGGTACAGAAGAAAAGATAAAGTGGGATATATATGACAATGCTGGCTCACTGCTAATAAACCTTGCAAGGATGAGCCATTTCTAATTAATCCCTGAAATTAAGGAAGACCTCTGACTATACACGCTGAAGAGTTTATTTATTATTATATTTTATACTTTATTCGAAAACATTTTGTTGACTTCCTTCCTCATTTTTCCCAATGCTCCATTTCTTAACAGCAGACAGACGGTACATGACAGTGTCTTCCCTCAAAGTCCTGTTGCCGTTTCTTATAAATATACATGCTTTCATATTTGACTAAGAATAGTAAGGTGACACCGTTGTTTGAGGCGGTGACAGAGAGTAATGGTCTGTCCCAGTAAAGGGGAATAGATACTGGGCCTGAATGGTTTCAAAGGCAGCGCCCGGGGGAGTTGCATGCCTCAGTCACCATATGCTCGGTGCAGAGCCCCCCCCCCCCACCTCCACACTGAACAGGAGCCCGGAGAGAGACAGACTGCTTCATGCAGACTGTAATGTGATAACAACGATGTGCCAAAAGCACGTCAAATACAATTAGAGTCACAAACGATATCCATTCAAGTAACTTTATGTGGAAAGTCAGAGAAAAACCTACTGCTTTATGTTGATCATCAGCCGTTGTCTTCTTGTACTTTTGAATATTGTTTATTATTGTCGACGGGGTCTCAAGAGGAGATGGTTGTTGAACTTGACTGAGGAAATCGGTTTTTATATTGTAAGGTATAGATATAGCATTGGTAGCAAGGAACCGGGGAGAGGTGTTTTTTTGCCCATGTTTTTGACCTCATTGAGGACATTCCTGTCTTTGTCACAAATGTTTGATATTTTTTTCAGAGAGCCCGATTGTTATTCTTGTCAGGACAGAAGTTACAGTGGAGAAGGTGCGAAACCCTCCAACAAAGTCATTTTGAACATTAAGTCTTGACTTCTTGATACTCTCAACTTTAAAGGATTAAAAACGGATTCAAAACTTCTTCTCAGCACTTTGATCCATAAAATGTTGAAGTTTAAAATGATGGATGCCTTTCACTTGTGAGGTTTTCTTGCATGTCAGCAGAACTCCTAAGCCAGGAATAAGCATTGAGAAATAAAACACATCAATCACATCTGGCAGAAACCTGCTGCTGCTTCTCTTTTCTGGTTTGATTCTTCCAATTGTTGGGGCTCTTCTGGCCAAAACCCCAGATAAGTGGAGTCACAGATACGCTGCCCCTTGGTTGACCCTTGGACTGTTAAACAGGGGGTTGGCAACTGCAAACATTTGTTAAACTAGTACCTGGAGCCGGGATCCAGTTTACAGCCCAGAGACGTAAAACAGCAATCCATGAATTCTGGTCTGGAGGTGCAACATATTGGAGCCTGTTCTCACTGAACCCGTTGATCTCAGGGAACGCTGCAAACAAACAAGCGCTGAGTTACTGCCGTGTAACGAGGAGAAGACGTGTCTGTGCAACACTTATCGGGGTGAGAGATGTTTCTGAGCTGATTCATAGCTTGCAAGTGATTTTCTACAGAAGAACCTAGATATTGCTACCAATGGACAGTAAACCTTCACACCAAGTCAAAGTTTTTCAAGCATTATTTTTTGAAAATTCACACAAAATACCAGTTTGAGTGTTTGTGTAGATATTATTTTTGAAATTGCAAGTTTCTGAGAAGTAAAAATGCAGCTATAAAAGCCAATGTTGTTGATGTAACATTTAACTTTTTATGTAACTTGAACTTGTTATCTTGAAGTCACTGAAAATTGAGAAATACAAAAAACGTTGCCGTAAAATATGTTTATTTATGCAAGTTTAGAATGATTAAATGTTGCCTTTGTGTGTTTACTATATTGCAATCAGTTGATATGACCTTTTCAAATATAAAAACTTGATAATCTTATACACACACTGCCTTTATTAGTGCACAGTGGACTGGAGTAGATCCTGAAATTAGCACCCCGACCCCGAGTCAAGAATCGAATCAAATTGATTTGTGAGATACCAAAAGATTCACAACTTCATGCCACATGCCCATTCTATTATTTTGTACATTCACATTGTAAAAACAGATTGACTAGTTTAATGTGAAAACGTGTCTTCATCTGATTACATGTAGGCAGCTCAAAAACATCAAAAACACAGCGAACACATCAAGGTTCAAATTCTTAATGCTTCATTCAGAGACTCAGAGAAGCTCAACTAAATAAGTGTGCACTCAAATGCATTCCTCCTTTGACAAACAGACAACTTATCAATATACAATCTTTTTTTTTTTTTTGCCTTAATTCAACTGGGACAGCAGAGACACAACATGAAATGAGGGGGAGAGGCTCTGGCTGGAATCAAACCGGCGACACTGCCATGACATGGTCAGCATCTTAAACCCAGGAGGTTTATCTCTTTTAATCATTTAGGGTAAAGAAATTACATTTCAGCAGCCTTTTTTTGTTGTTGTTTTTGCCAAAGATTTTATGTTACTCCTCGTCTTCCCCGAGACATAAAGTAAAGGTCGTAACAAGGTAATTCTTGAAGCAGCAGTCCGTCTCAGCTGAAGGCACAATATGAATATAAGATGCTGATCTTGGTCTTGAGATAAGTGCAACTGCAGTTTTCTGCTCTGTTTGACTCTGTTTTTTCCTGTAAAGGGACATTTAAGTAAATAAAACGCAGTCTGGAGTAGAACATGGAATGCTAACTATGAAGAATTTACAAACACAAACAACCCTCTTCATCACAGGACATAAATATGTATTATTCAGCTGATAAAATGGCACTTTTAGAGGCTTTAGGAGAGCGGTGGGGGTGAGAGGAAGGCTAAGGGTCTTTTCTGGTCTGTTAGCAGCCTCTGCTGGCCCTGGATGTGTCACATACAGAATCAAGGGGTGATGTATATTATCAACACTCACCTTGTTTGAAATGACAAGGAGAGTGAAATGGTATCTTTGACATATTATGTTTCGGCTGAAACATATTAAACCACATATTTTACAGTAGATGGGACACTTAGCTCTCCAAAAACAAAAAATATATTAGGCCAAATAGATTTGAACACATAAGACTTTGGGAATTCAACAACTCAACATGTAAATTATTCATCCTGTCACAACCTTCGTTGTTTCAGCCAAAATATAGGGTAACACTAAGCTGACAGGCAACCCAAAATACAAAATAGTAATCAGACCCTCTTTGATTTGCAAAGAAGAAAATGCACAAGAAGTTGCTGTTGACAAGTAACAAGACAGCAGCACACATACAGATCTGGTTCAATGAAGAAGTACAGAAAACACCAAAATGTTAAAAAATAATAATTCAAAGCCTAATACTGTTCCTGTGCAGTAGCACTGGCAATAACAGATGACAAGATGAACATGTTCAGAAACGGACAGAAGTGAAAAATAAAGTCATTTGACATGTATTGAGTGGGAGGCTATGCATAAACAAACAAGCATGCAAAGTAGGTCAGCACATACCTTAAATAGCTGTGTATGGAGGAATGGGTTGGAGTGGTAAAGCAGACTTTTAGCTTGAGACACACGTTTGATAAAACCTGGTTGAAACTCGAAAAATATATATAATGCAAATCTTAAAATTTAAGGAACATGGGGGAAAAAAGGTGAAATTAATGATTAATGATGAATTGTAATGTGTTGTTCTACTTAGTTAGACTGCGGCTACAAAAGCTCCCAAATCAGCATTTGAAAACTCTGCTAAAAAATGTAAAGAATAAACGACTAACATGTCATATATTTTAAAGACTTTTATTATGAAAAGCTCTCCGGAACTGCTCAGTTGTAGTAGCTTAGTACATTTTACATTGTCTTCCGCTGCATATTTCTGTCAAAATGGCCCGTCCACTTCCATTTAAAATTGCAGTTGTTTCTACTGTTTTGTTTTTCGTATGCACGAATTATGTATACTGTAATAACGGCAGAAGGGTAAGTGTGAAATTGTATTAATTCAACCCTCGCATTTGACTGCCGTTAAGCGGAAGCTGCACCTGTTAGCTATGGGATTAGCATTAGCTTTGGACCCAGTGAATGCTAACAGTAACGTTATATCTTCTATTTGTATTACCAGGTTGGCGATGTCATGGACACTGAATTCAGTGGTTTCTCCGTACCACTTGAGCACTCATTTGAAGTTGGTGAGGAGGTGTTATTTTTGATTATTATGGTTTATAGTGCGTTATTGCTAATGTTGTTAAGCTAACACTAACTAAGCAGCCTTGTGCTAACACCACAGAACGGAGACATCACACTTCAAAAGTCTGTCAGTTGAATCATTTTTATCAATCGATGAATTAATTATATGTAGTTAACTGCCAACGTATCTAACTCTGCATGTAACATGACAGTCAACTGCAACAATTTACATTCTGAGCATCTATATCTGATAGACCTTTATCACAGCAGACATGTTGACTAGTCGCAGCAGGAAAGGCTCAGCTGCATTGAAGGTAAGCTAGTAAGCTAGTAAGTAAGCAAGTAAGCTATTGCATTGCGCCAGCATGCACAATACCAGGACCTCCCTTAAGTGGACTGCAGCCCTCATTAGTGATATTAAATAAACCAGCACGTTCCCCACTGTTTTAATGTCAAAGTATCTGCTGTGAAAAAGGTCCATTCGGTTATTCATCAATGCTATCTGCTTTGCTCTTACTGTCTGTTTGTCCGCATTGTTTCAGATGATATAGCAAAGTTTCGAGTACGTGGAGCGCTGGTGTTGAAAGCTGGAAGGGAGCCCAGCGTCTCACTGACTCAGAGTCAGCTATCGGAGGAAGACAGAACCAAACTAAAGGTGAGATGTGATACGGTTTGAAGGGTGTGGACAGAGCAATACTGTAGTTGGTTGTGTCCAAAATAAAGATTACCACAATTACACTGAGATTGTTGGATTCCTCATTTTTCAACAACAAATGTAAGGGCTTTTTGGGGCCATGACGCTCATGGACGACCACAGACCATATGCTCTGATCATTGATAAACAGATTTGAGAGCCAGAGTTCGTACAAAAGGACTTGAGTGTGATCAGGATGGCATAACGTCTGTGTTTGTTTTGTGCTTCAGGAAGTGGCTGCAGTGGACGGTCTGTACAGAATCCGAGTGCCTCGTGTCTTCCTGCAGGCAGACAGACAGACCGAGCGGCAGTTGGAAGGTTACCTCACAGCATTTGTCAGAGCCGTACGTATTTCACTTCTCTTCACCAGGAAATAATGTTCAATTGCTCAACAAGCTTGTATTATGGAACTGAGAGATAATAAGTACATGAAGAGCTTCATCAGTAAAAATCGATCTGCTCTATGTAAGACATGTGCCATAATGGGACTACTTTTCAAATAATGGTGTTTTAAGGTCTCTCTAGTTAAATAATGTCTCATTGTTTTCTTTGGTTTACTGTATTTTTAGTACATTCGTTTTGACTTAAAATATTTCAATGTTTTTCTTGTTGGCTTACAAGTTTATAATTGTCTCAGAGCCTTATTATAAAAGGTAACACATTTACATGTTTGGTCTTTTATAGTTTATTATTGATCATTATAAATCAAAGGTACTCTTGTTTGTAAAGTACTTTTGCTGACTGCATCACTACATTGTTCAGGTATTAAAGGTTGGGTAAAGATTTAGAACAATTTAGAAATTGTTGTTTTGTTTATGAACAAGAGTACGGCTCATCTGATAACTAATATCTTTTGACTGAACCTACTAGCTTTATGTTTTGGTGAGCCAAAGACAATTTTCCACTCTGATGTACATGTTGCCAAAAACACGTATTTAATTTAGTAATAATCAATGTTTCAGTATTCTATTCTAAGCCGTGTGTAGTTAGAGAACCAGAATGACATGCAAGAATAGATATTCATTATGTCGTGTGTCTAACCAGCCTAAGTTAATTCAGATTGAGGGCTCTTCTAAAATGTAATATTGATCTGTTGGATGAAGCGGCATCACATCCCCGTGATATGAATGTGAGCGATACTAACTCGCTCTACCATGAACCTCAGTGCGCCATGGTGGAGTCCCATCTGAGTGACGTCATCTCCCTCCACGCCGACGTCTCTGGTTACGTCATCGGTGTTTCCATAGTGACGTTTCCCGGGGCCTGCCGGGGCACGGAGGTGGAGGATGAAGTCGACCTCGAGGTGTTCAACACCACGCTCAGCGTCATGGCTCCCGTCAATGCACCGGGGTCAGTCCTAAATGATGAATTTGCTCATTTTTATTTTTCTGTTTTTCTTCCTTTTCAATCTCCACTGCTTGATGAAGCTTGACTGCTCATGGCAGCATCTCTAACTATCTGTGCATTAGTGAAATCCTCTCGGGTAGCTGTCTCGGATGTCTTTGATTCCGTTTTATTTGCCTTGGCGTAGCAGCTCTACACCATATCCCCGTGGGGAGAACAAGTCTCTCCGCACTCTTCTGCCTTTCACACACACTTTCTGTTTTCGGGTTTGTTTGAATTCTAATTGCCAACTTTCTTCCAGACCTGAGACGGCTCTGTTCGTTGAACGAATGGAACAAGAAACTGAGAAGAAGGGGAAGAATCCACAAGAGCAGAAATCTTTCTTTGCTAAATATGTAAGTACTCTTACTGAAAACTGCTGATAAGCCCAATAAGCTGTGCCTGAAGATATACTCGCTGCCTTCGGTAATTGGGCTCTGATGATTGTAATGGCCCGTATAGTTTATGGATACATGAAAATGCTTATTCAGCTCCTTCTTTTTTCCCCATCAGTCTTAACTTTTTCTATGCATGTGTTTTTAAAATGTAGTATACAGGGCGCATCAATACTTTAGTGCGAGGTTTTATTTTTCTTCTATTTCATTTGTCAATATTTGTGGCAGAAACGTATCGACAGGGAAAATCCTGTTTGTATATCAGGGGTCTCCAAACGTTGTCCTCTGAGAGCTAGATTGACAAAATGAAAGTGGTCTAGATCTACTCACAGCACCAAGTGTCACATCACCGATAGCAAACGTAGTGTCTGTCGTACTTTTATGGTCCTTTAGTAACGATTCAGTCACTTAAAGCAGGGCCTCTGTTATGTTCCCTGCCTGGACGAAGGGTTTTTGTGTGTCGTTAGGATGTGCGACACTAAACGAAGCCTCTGTTGCTGCGTTGGTTCTCGTCAGTTTGGTAACAGAGACTTCACCTTCTCTGTATGTAGACTGCTACCAAACGGCGTTGTGTCAAATACTGTTTTCATGTCTGTGTTCCTCCCTAACCTGAACCTGAACCGACCATTATCCCCAACTACCAGGGGCGGGGGGGCACTATTTAACAGGGGAACAGAGTTCAACGAAACACCGGAAAGTCCATTTGTGTTGTTACTTGTTTCCCATTCCTCATGAAAGTGATATATATTTATATTTGTGCCTTTTACTGGACAGTCTGTTCTTTAGGTGTGCTCTTGTTAGTCTAACATTACCTTCTGTTGCAGCATCACTGGTTTAACCAAACTTGTGAGCAGCGTAACTTGTTTAACTGATGGCTGATTGGAGAATAATCATTTTGTGTTCTAAAATGTACATTTTCTCAGAACCTTTAGCGAACCCCTCTGAAGCGGGTAGTGTTACTTGTTGGGAGGCCCCTGGTGTATATGTTAAATGATTTTGTCAGAATACAGGCTATACGTTGCTTCGTCTTCTTTGCTTTCACACCATAAACAAACTGTACCAGATCCCCCTTTTTAGGTCTTGGGGCCCAAAAGGGGGTCTGCACCAGAGCTTGATAGCTGCCTCTGTACTGCTGCTGTCACAGTCAGCAGAGATCATTCTGCCCTCAAAGTTCAAGTTCAAACTTTGGTAACGTGTATATTTGTCATCTTTGTGATATTTGGAGCTGTCGGCTGGAGTGAGCTCCACGTCTTTGAAACGCCGGGCCTGTGTGCTATCGCCGGCCTCCCCCGAGCGCCTCCTATGATCGCTGTGCTTGTCTTGTATATCTTGCTGTGTTCAGTGAACTGTGTTGACTCTGTGCTGTGTTCAGTGACAGTGTGTTGACTCTGTGCTGTGTTCCAGTGGTATTTGATTCTGGGAGGTGCAATCTTCCTCATGGTCACCAACTCAGCACAGCCCCCAGCAGGGGGAGGCAGAGAGCAGAGCTGATTCCCACTGAAGTACTGTTTCCTTACTTGTGGCTTGTTCTGTCCCCTCCCCCGTCAACTGATCTATTTAACTTCTACACGACTAATTGAAACCAACCACTTTGTTTCCCACACTTTCCCTCTTTTCCTGTTTTTTCCAGAGTCAGTGCCAAATACATTCCAGACTTATAACTACCTGAAAAAGCTTAACTTTCTTCTTTATTCAAAAGACATTGTACAAGAAAGCCTCCATGCTATTTAATGTATTTAGTGATTGACTGATTTGTAGCCTTGTGTACTTGTGTCATGTTTGTCTTGTTGTCTGTGTTGATTGTAATGTGTGTGGAGATGGATGCCTCGCCCTCTATTGCAAACCAAGTCTACCTACGGGTACAAATAGAAGTAACCCGATGCTAAACCATCAAGAAATCCTAAATCGTAATTGTCAGTGTGAACATGTTGAGCATGTGTTTGGTGTTGACACTGAGATTTCTTCACTTTCTCACCCACTTTTAACTTTTCTTCTGTTCAGAATATAAGTACCGGTAGAACCTAATCTGGGGAGACCAATCTGGGATGATCTCTGTGATCACAGTAAAGAATTGTTGTCTTTAGAACAACTATTGTTGAATTTACTTCCCTTCTCTTTTCTTTTCTTCTTGTCCTCTCCAGTGGATGTACATCGTGCCTCTCGTTCTCTTCCTCATGATGTCTGGTGCTCAGGACCAATCAGGTGGAGGAGCCGGAGGCGGAGCAGCCAATGGAGGTGGCCGATGATCAACAAGCCAACAGTGTCTACTTTTTGTTATTGGTGAACATTTCCTGAACAATAGTTGTCTCGAGTAGATTTTGATTGCTGTACATAATGCTATTTAAGTAGGATAAATGTCCGTCACACACAACTTACAGCTGTACAGCACAGAGGAGATATTGAGCCCTGCAGATTACACTTTTAATACTAATGTGAAAATAAAGTATGTATTACTTGACCGGCCTTTTCTCTACGTCACTCAGACACTCGGTCCTGTTTTACTCTGAGGCTCAGATTTAGTTGTAACACCAGTAAAGTAATAACAGTGATTAGTGAGGGAAAAACCACATTTATGAGACTCTATGTTGTAAAATGATCATGGTTTCAGATGACGATACTCCTATTAATAAACTAAATACATTTACATGAACGTGTAGTCATTGTGGCGATGTTTGTCTTTCAGTGTTTAGTATTTTATTTTTAATGTGAATACACAATGATTAAAGTCGGCTTTCATTCTGACATTTAACTGGTAAAAACTTACAAAGTCGACAAAGAGAGAAGAAAGAAATATATTAATGGACAAGTTATCCACATAGAGAGGATCAAATGATGTACGACAGAAATGTTGCAGAAGTAAACTTGATGGCAGACGGTGGAGGGGGCTGAGGGTGAGGAGTAGAGGGGAGGTTACATGAAGCAGGATGCCGCTTACATGCCAGCCGGGACTCATAAATCTCATGGCTCCCTGAGACCACCAATGTTGACATGACAGCATCCCCCCCTCTTATGACATGTGATTTAGAAGCAGCCACAAGGTTTGTGTTGCACTAAAGCTGCCGGTCGTTATCACACTGTAAACCTGGACACTTTAACTATGAAGGCATTATTAAAGCTGCAAGACAACTCAAATGTGTTATGTCATTTGGTTTAAATTGCTCAAATTCTCAGAGCTGATTCGGTTTCATAAGGAGAACGATCAGTAGTGGAAAACAACTCGGTACATTTACTCAAGTAAAACATTGAGGTGCTTGTACTTTAGTTCAGAGGGAAATATTGCACTTTTTACTCCTCTACATTTATTTCAAAGCTATACTGCTTAGCTTTCAGATTAATAGTTTATTTAACACATTGTTAAAGATGAAATCAGTGGTTCACAACATTCATGATTTGTGACCCCTCACAAGAAAGCAACGTCTCGTTATGTCATGTTTTAGATATCTATGAGTTGTGAAAAGTTCCAACAAAGAACCATTTCTCTAAATGTCTCACATGGTTTCATTTAATAACAGTCAAAGGCCCTCCTAACATTGTAAGTTATTAAATGTTTCACAAAATCAGCAAACAAAGAAAGAAAAGTCCATCAAACGTTTTTTTCTTCTTCTTCTCTGCCATCAATCATCTCATGACCCTTCAGATTTATCAGGTGACCCTTTGGAGGGGCCCGCCCCCTAGGTTGAGAACCACTGGACTAAATGTGTTTAAAGTAGTTCAAACGTGCTTCACTTTGAGCAGCTCCAGCATTATCATGCTGCTGGTGCATCAGTATTAACAATCTAATATTTGAGAGGGAACTAGTAATTATACTTTTGATACTTTAAGTACATTCTACCTGATTTTAAATACAGGACTTTTTTAATAGAATATGCACCACTGCATCATTCTCAATAAGAAATAAACAACCTTTATATATATATATATATATATATATA